CCTCCTGCGAGGGTAGGGAGGGAGGAAGGCAGCCTCCCTCCTCCTCCTCCTCCGCCTCCTCCGCCCGCTGCTCCCGGCGACACGGGCGATTTGCATTTTAAATGACTCCGAGCCCGCCCCCAGCGCTCGGTAGCGGGCCCGGAAAGTTTGTCCTCGGCTCGGTGAACAAAACAAATCCGGATTAAAATCGGTATTCGAGGCAGCGGAGGAGTGGCGATCCCTGCTCTGTTTGTTTGGAATGCGCCCAGGGTTCCGGGCTGCTCGGGCCGCGCTGTTTTCCCGGCTGATGTTATCCCGTTCCTGTCCTGGTTGTTGTTGTCCTGTTGTCCCGGTTGTTGTTTTCGCCTGTCAATTTCCCAGTTGTCGTTTTATCCCATCAATTTCCCAGTTGTTGTTTTTTCCCATCAATATCCCGGTTGTTGTTTGCCCATCCCTGTCCCGGTTGTTGTTTTTATCCCATTCCTGTCCCGGTGGTTGTTTTTATCCCATTCCTGTCCCGGTGCATCTCCAGCTCCTTCTGCTCGCTCTCGTCCATTCCCTGTGCTCGGTTCTGGTTCTGTCCCTGGGTCCGGCTCCGTCCCCGTGTCCAGCCCTGTCCCTGTCCCTGCGTCCGGCCCTGTCTGTGATCCTGTGTCCAGAACAGCTTCAGAGGGTCAGGAACAGTTTGAGAGAGGCAAGAGCTGTTCCAGAGTCTTAGGAAGAGTTTTGGATTTTCCAAACCAGATCCAGAGGGGCAGGAACAGGTTCAGATTTTCAAGAACAGCGCCAGAGCATCAGGAAGAGTTTCAGATTTTCAAGAAGAGTTCCAGAAGCACAGGAGGAACTTCAGGGGGTCAGGAACAGTTTTTAGGGGTCAGGAGCAGTTCCAGAGTGTCGGGTTGAGTTCCAAATATTCAATAACAGCTTTTAAGGGTCAGGAACAGTATCAGATTTTCAAAAACAGTTTCAGATCATCAAGAAGAGTTTCAGATTTTCAAGAAAAGTTTCAGATTTTCAAGAAGAGTTTCAGAAGTGCAGGACCAGCTCCAGAGGGTCAGGAAAAGTCTCTGAGCCTGGTTTGAGTCTCAGTCTGTGCCTGTGGGAAGTTCAAGGAGTTTATTTGGGGTTTTTGGGGGCCCTGCAGGATGTGGTGATTCCCCTTTTGGAGCCCAGCCCAGCCCCTGTGGCTTTGGGGAGGTTTTTATTCCCCAAATAACTCAAACCCCAAAAAGGAACCCTGGGGACTCAGAGAAAAACAGGGAAGGAAACAGGAAATAAACAGTGAGAAAAAAGAGGAAAAAACAGGGATAAATGGTAAAAAACAGGGAAAAAGCAGGGGAAAATGGGGAAATCAGGGGAAAATGGGGTAAAACTGGGAAGAGAAGTGGGAAGTAAACAGGGAGAGTGAAATTCCCGGGAAGCCCCGGGTCCATCTTTAGCCCAGGCTGAGAGCCAAGAACTAGCTCAGCTGGAGCCAGTAGGGGCTGCCAGGGGAAAACAGGGAAAAACAAGGGGAAAAGGCAGAATATGAGCTGAAAATAAAAATTATTAATGGCGTTAACTTCTTTATAGAGCTCTTGTTTTCCATCACATAGTTCCGTGAATATCCTGAATTTTTAATGAAAAGTTGTGTCCCAAAGAGGAGAAAATCCCCAAAACTAGGGGAAAAAAAGGTCAAAAATGAGCAAAAAATACAATTTATAAATGCTCTTAATCCTTTTTAGGGGCCTCCATTTACCACTCATGGTTTTCTCAATATTTTACATTTTTATTTTATTTTGTTTATTTTGCTTTTTTTTTTCTCAAGATTTCTTGGTGCTGAGCTAGTTTTTCTCCCTGATTTTCCTCCTGTTTATTTCAAGCCTGCTCCAAACATTTTTAAACCCCCAAGAAATTAGAAATGAATGGATTTAAAATTGTTTAATTTGGGTTTTTTTGCCTTTTCCCCAGCTTGTTATGGAATTGTCCAGGTCCCCACCGGCCCCTGGTTCTGCCGGAAATGTGAATCCCAGGAAAGAGCCGCCCGAGTGGTGAGTAGGGAAAAATAATGGATGGAGTTCTCCAAGATTTTTGGGTGTGGGGCCTTTTTAAAAATTCAAAAACCCCCAAAAAGAAATCACAGGAGAGATTTTCCTACACCAGATTTTGGGGCACCCCAAAAACAACCCCACACCTCTCAGCCTGGATTTGGGGTGACACCAAACTCAACCACGACCATACAACCAAAATTTCTCCCGAAAACCGGAGGGAAAAAACCTCATGAGAGGCGGAAGGAAGGAGCAGAGAGAGATAAAAACTCAATTTCTTTTTTACTCTGAGTTGCTGCTTTCGGTTTTGCTCCTCAACCACAGCCCCTAAAGCTGGCCCTAAAAAAGCCCCAAAAGCAAAACTTTGCCCTAGACATTTAAATCAAATTTTTAGGGCTTTTTTTGAGGTTTTTGTTCCCCATAACCGCCTCAGTCCTCATTCCCACAGTCCTTTTCTGCAGCAGCTCCTTTTTGAGGCAAAAATAGGGATTTTCTGGTCCTAAACTTGGAATTAAATGGATGAAATTTGAATTTTATTGATTAATTTTTATTCAATTTGAATTTTATAGATTTATTTTGAATTTTATAGATTAAATTTTATATAATTTGAATTTTATTGATGAAATTTGCATTTTTGGGATTAAATGTCAATTTTATTGATGAATTTTCAATTTTATCAATTGAATTTGATTAAATTTCAATTTTATCCATGAAATTTGAATTTTATTGATGAAATTTCTTTGTCATCAATTAAACCTAATTAAACCTGATGGAATCTGAATTTTATAGCTGAAATCTGACAAATTTTATTTATTAAATTTAAATTTTATCAATTACAGCTGATGAAATTTGAATTTTATCAATGAAATCGGGTGAATTTTGGTGGTTTTTCTCCCTTCCAGAGGTGCGAGCTGTGTCCCCACAAGGATGGAGCCCTGAAGCGCACGGACAATGGGGGTGAGCCATGGAATTCCCACCTGGAAAATCCCAAAATCCACCCTCCCCCTTTTGCCCACAAAATTCCCTTTTTGGAGCCTCCACCAAAGGAGGTGGTTTTTTCCCTGCCTGAGCTTGGATTGGAGTCAAAATGAGGCCAAAATTATGGGATTTTGGGGTTGATCCCACAGGAATTTCCCATCTCTGGGATCACGGTGGGATCCAGGCCCCATCCCAGAGGATTTTCCATGCGGGATTTTCCTGCAGGTTTTTGGGGATGGAATTTTTGAGATGGAGTTTTTTATGGAGACAGAGGTTTTTTGGGACGGGAATTTTTGGGATGGAGGTTTTTTAGGCACAGAAGCTTTTAAGGATTGAGATTTTCTTGGGGGGTGAAGAATTTTTGGGTTCCATGCCAAAATAGAGGCTATTTTGGCATGGAACTTTTTTTAGGATGGAGGATATTTTTTGCAACAGAGATGTTTTTGACGTGTAGTTTGATTGACATGGGGGTTTTTGGAGGCAGAATATTTTTCTGGCATGGAATTTTTTTTGGGGGGGGTTCTCGGACTGAATTCCCATTTTCCCTTCCTTTTCCAGGCTGGGCCCACGTGGTGTGTGCCCTATACATCCCCGAGGTGCAGTTTGCCAACGTGCTCACCATGGAGCCCATCGTGCTCCAGTACGTCCCCCACGACCGCTTCAACAAGGTAAAATCTGGGATTTTGGGATTTTGGGATCATCCCGTCTCCCCACGGTTCCTTCCCGGATTATCCTGACCCCACAGCTGCTCAGATTCCATTAAAAACCAAGGAAATCCCTGGCTTTGCTAAGAAATTTTTGGTCTTCCCCATCTATCTTCCCCAAATTGATGGAATTTGAGGAATTTCTTTGTGGAACGATGGGAACCAGTTGGATCCATGGAATTCGCTGTTGGATCCTCCGTATTTTTGGGGAGAAAATGGGAATTTCAGGAATTTCTTGGTGGGACAACTTGAGCCAACTGAATCTATGGAATTCTGTGTTGGATCCTCCATATTTGGATGGGTTTTGGGGGAGAAAATGGGAATTTGAGGAATTTCATGGTGGAACAACTGGAACCAAAGGAATCCATGGAATTCCATGTTGATTCCGATGGGACGGTTGGGATTTTGGGGAAAAAGGAGAAGTTTTGTGTATCCCACCGGGGAGTATCCTGGAATTTTCATAGAAATCCCTCAAAATTTCCTCGATGCCCCAGAAATTCGTTGACAGGAGTGGAAGGTGGGAAAGACTGGAACTCACCAAGCTTCAAAACCCTTCCCGACCCAACACATTCCATGACATTTGGGAATCCCTGGAGGCTTTTCCTCTTGGAAAATGTGGTTTTTTCCCCTTTTTTTTCCCCCTTTCCAGACCTGCTACATCTGCGAGGAGCAAGGGCGGGAGAGCAAGGCGGCCTCGGGGGCCTGCATGGCCTGCAACCGTCACGGCTGCCGCCAGGCCTTCCATGTCACCTGGTGAGATCCCCGGGAATTCCCTCTGGAATGTGCCCCCAGCTGCTCCTTCTCTGCCCTGGCTCGGGGGGCTCGTTCCCTCAGGGTTGTGGAGTTTGGGGTTGATGCCCCCCATGGGGTTATTTAGGACTGGAATTGCCCCTTCTTCCTCCTCACCCAGGAGATTTTTCTAGGTTTTTCCAGGAAGTTCCCAAAGTTCAGGAATTCCATTGGAACCTGTGGAATCTGATGGATTTTCCTTTTTTTTTTTTTCCCCTGCTGATTTTTCTTTTTTTTTCCTCCATTTTCCTGCTGATTTTCTCGAGTTTCCCCTGTTTTCCTACCAATTTTCCCGTTTTTTCCCTGTTTTCCCTCTGATTGTCCTGGATTTTCCCTGTTTTTCCTGGGATCAGTGCACAGATGGCCGGGCTCCTGTGCGAGGAGGAGGTGCTGGAGGTCGACAATGTCAAATACTGCGGCTACTGCAAATACCACTTCAACAAAATGGTGAGATCCAGGAATTCCAGGGATTCTGGAAGTTCCCAGTTATCTGGAGAACTTTTATTTATTCAGGGAATTTCATTTGTTTTGGGAATTTCATTTCTTGAGGACATTTTTTATTTATTTTGGAAATTTTCATGTATTTCAGGATTTTTTATTTTATTTGGTGGGTTTGATTTATTTAGGGAATTTTATTTATTTGGGGAACTTTTATTTATTAAAAAAAAATTAATTTATTTTTCTTGCCCTTTTCTCTCTTCTCCTTTTCAATCTTTTTTCATCCTTTTTCATCTTCTTCCCCCTTTTCCTTCTTTTTTTCCCCTTTCCTTCTTTTCTTTCCCCTTTCCCCCTCTTTTTTCTCTTTTTTCTCTTTTTTCCAATTTTCCATCTTTCCTTTCTCCTTTTCCCTCTTTCTTCCTCTTCCCCCTTTTTTTCCCTTTTTCCTCATTTTCCCCCTTTCCCCTCTATTTTTTTCCCCTTTCCCCTCTTTCCTTTACCCTTTCCCTCGGGTTTTTTTCCTGTTTTCCCCCCCCTTTTTCCCCATTTTCCTCCTGTTTTCCCCCAGAAGACCTCGCGCCATTCCGGGACCAGCTCCTTTCTCCCGGGCAGGAGGAGCCGCTCAGCATCCCCAGCACAGGAAAAGCACCTGTCCCACCACGAGCGGCCAAAAAAGGTGAGAAAATCCCCAAAACTCCCCAAATCCCCTAAATTGACAGGATTTGTTTATGGGATCAGGTGCTGGAAAACTGCTGGAATGGGGATTTATTAAAATTTCTTTATGGGATCTGTCACTGCCCTTCCCAGTGTTGGGAATTCCGGCATTCCAGAAGTTCCTGGTTTTTTTTTCCAGAGCCGCAAGGACAAGGAGAGGCCGAAGCAGAAGCACAAAAAGCGGCCGGATTCCCCAAACAGCCTCCCCCCAGCACCTGTGGCCATGGCTGTTGAGAAGGTACTGGGGAAAATCCCCCAGGAAACTGGGAAAAGGGGCAGGAAAATCCACCCAGAAAATCCAGCCAAAAAATCGGGGAAAGGAGCAGGAAAATCCACCCAGAAAATAGGGAAGGCCAGGAAAAGGCACCCAAAAACCCAGGGAAAAGGGACAGGAAAGTCCACCTAGAAAACTGGGAAAAGGGCAGGAAAATCCACCCAATAAAAACAGGGAAAAGGGGCAGGAAATTCCACCCCGAAAACTGGGAAAAGGGCATTCTCACCAGGCCATTCCCACCCCCAGGCCCCTCTCCCCTTCCCTTCCTGAGGAAAAATCAGGACAATTTCTCCTGCTGAGCCCATAAATCCAGGACGGTTTAATTCCCGCATCTGGGGCTGGCAGGAGAAAATCCCAATTCTCTCTCCCCGGAATTCCCCTGTTCTCATCCCTTCAAATTCCGGGCACATCTGGTGCCTGCAGCTGTCGAGGGGTTAACTCCAGGGATGGACTTGGATCCCAGGATTCATCCCAAAGAGGGCTCGGTCAGCGTCAGGGATGTCAGGAAGGTCCCACATTTTGGGCTAACCCATAATTACAGGAATATTTTTAATTTTGGTTGTAATGTTACCTAAAATGGGTGACTTTGGAGTCCTTGGGTCTGGATTTGAAGGGAATTGGGATTTGAGGGATCTGGGTTTGGGTTCATGCCTCTTTCCCCCCGGCTGAATTCCCATAATTCTCCCTCTCATCCCAAAATTCTGGATTTCCTGGCATCTGCCCAGGTTCTTCACCCTCCTGTCTCCCCTGGCTCCTGCAGCTCAGCTGGAATTTGGGAACGTCTGGTGTTGCTCCAACCCCTGGGAATATTCCCAGCCAGAGCTTTGGGATGGCTGCAGGGATCCCAGGGCATCTCCTGTCCCATGCCAAGGATGAGGAAATTCCCCCAGGGAATCTCTGATCCCACCCCATTCCCAAGGAAATCCCCCAGGTGGGATGGGAGTGGTGGGAGCAGCACACCTGAGGCAGGAATCTGAAATCCCCAATGGAACTGGGAGGTTTCCAAAATCCGGAGGTTTTTGGAGCTGGAGACTCCGCTCCCTTCCCCCTTTAATCCCCTGTGGTTTCCTGGGATGAGCCCAATCCCTGGGATGGAATTCTCGGTGCCACTGAGCAGCAGGAGATGTCCCAAAGTCCCTTTTGTGCCAGGAGCGACCCGAGCTGAGTAGCCCTGGGTGGGCAGAGGGGGCAATTCCCACTTCAGAGGGGGGAAATTGTGGAAATCAGGAAATTTGGGGAAAATGGGAAAATCAGGGAAATAGGGAAAAAAGGAGCCCCGGCTGCAGCCAGCTCTGGTCCCTGGGGTCACCCCAGTGTCTGTCCCCTCCCAGGGCTCCAGCAGCCACCACGAGGCCACCAAGGAGAGCTCAGAGGTGGCCAGGGCAGAGGCCAAGGGCAGGAAATCCTCGAGCCACGGCAGCAGCCACAAGGGCAAGAAGATGGGAAGTGGGAAAAGCTCCGCAGGCTTTGGATCTGCCCCAGCTGGAGGAACCTTCCAGACGGCCGGTGAGGGGCAGGAGGAGGAGGAGGGAGAGGGAGAGGGAGAGGGAGAGGGAGGAAGGAGGAAGGAGGGGGATGGAGGAAGAGAGGAAGGAGGAGGGAGAGGAAGGAGAAGAAAGGAGAGAGGGGAGGGAGGAAGAGGGGAGGGATGGAGAAAAGGAGAGGGGTGGAGGAGGAAGAAGAAGAGAGTGATGAAGTACAGGGAGGCAAGGGATGAAGGAGAAAACCAGAGGGATGAGGGAGAAGGGAGGAGAGCAATGAAGCACCAGGACCCCTCCCCAGCCCCTCGGGCTGACCCCATGTGTCCCCAGGCTCCTCCTGCAGCCTGCCCGGCTCCCAGGACTTCGCGCCCTTCCCCAAGCTGGAGCAGGAGGATGAGAAGTTCCGCAAGGCCACCAGCTCCAGCTCCTCCTCGCATTGCTCGCCACTCTCTGAGGGCCCCAAGGCCGACGTCTTCGAGCAGAAGGTCATCTTCTCCGGCTTCGGCTCTATCATGCGCTTCTCCACCTCAGCCGTGGGCCAGCCCCGAGCCCGCGACGCCTCACCCGTGGACTACAAAGCCTCCAGCACCCTTGGTGGCCCCGCGGGTGGCACGGGTGGCACGGCTGGCGCCGCTGGGAGCGGCCACAAGCGGATGCCGTCGCTGGGCTCCGAGGAGGGAGAGGTGCTCAAGGAGAAGAAGCACAAGGGCAGCAAGAAGAACAAGCATGGCCCTGGCAGGCCCAAGGCGGGCAAAGGCAAAGAGGTTTTGGGGGCCCAGCTGGCTGGGTCCACCTCCACCTCCTCCTCTCCCTTCTCCGGGGGATCCCTCGTCAGCTCTAGCATCGGGAATTCTTCCCGGAGCTTCAGCCACCCCGGGAGTCTGCCCAGCCTCAGCATGGAGTCGCCACTGCTGGGCTCAGGTGGGTCCCCCCTTGAGGGATTCAGGTGTGCTCAGATCCCTTTTCCCACCTTTTCCAGAATTTTCCAGTGCGTTTAGCCATGTCCAGACCTGCCTGCACAGGGTTCTGTCTCCTGAATCTATAAAAATCCACATCCTCTTCCTTCACCCTGGAACCTCCCTTGGATCAGCTTCCCAAAAGTTGAGGAATCTCCTCTCCCTTGGGAGAGGCCGTATCAAAAGGAATCTCTCCCTGGGAAGAGGCGGGATCAGAATGGATCTCTCCCTGGGGATTAGCAGGATAAACTGGAATCTGTGTCCTGCAGGGATCTACACAAGCAACAAGGACCCGATCCCGCTGGGCGCGGCGCTGCGGGCGGTGTGCAGCACGCCGCTGCCCTCGGGGCTGCTCCCGCACCAGGGCGGCGCCGCCCTGCCCCAGCTCAGCCGGTCGCCCTTCGCCAGCTCCATCCCCGCCTCCTCCTCCGCCGGATCCACCACACAGGTGAGGCCTGGGACGGGCAGGGGCTCGGGACTGGGGGCACGCGGGAATGGTGACAGTCAGGATTGGGAACAGTCAGGATTGGGGACAGTCGGGAATGGGAACACTCAGGATTGGTAAATTTGGGATTGGGAATAATCGGGAATGGGGACAGTTGGGAATGGGAATGCTCAGGACAGGGAACACTTGGGAATGGGAACAATTGGGACAGGGAACACTCAGGATTGGGAACACTTCCACTGGGAAGAGCAATTGGATCCACACCATTCCCAGGGCTCCTGGCTCCCAGCCAGCTCTCAGAATGTGCCAAGCCTCTCACCAGACTTCCAGCAGATATTTTTAACATGGGAGCTGGGAAGAGCTGCAATAACGAGGATATTTTCCTGCTTCCCGTGCAGGTGTTTTCCCTGGCGGGTTCCACCTTCAGCCTTCCTTCCTCGCACATTTTTGGGAGCCCGCTGACGTCCGGGCTGTCCCTGAACCCCCTCCTCAGCCAGCCGGAGAGCAGCCGGGCAGGTATGTGAACTCCCAGGTATGTCCGGATTGGCATTCCTGAGGGCTCTCCCACCAGGACAGGACAGGACAGGACAGGAGGCTGCTGCTGCATTCCCAGCTTTTCCAGCTGCTGTCCCTCAAGGTGACAGCCAGGGCTGCCGTGGGGGGACAGGGATGGTGTCTTTGCCAACTGCACCTCGGGCGTGTCCCTGGAGAATGGGTGTCCCTGGATCATGGGTGCCCCCTGAAAAATGGGTGTCCTTGGAGAATGAATGTCCATGGATAACAAGTGTCCCTGGAAAATGGGTGTCCCTGGATCATGAGTGTCCCTGGATGATAATGGCTGTCCCAGGATAATTGGATGTCCCTGGATAATGAGTGGCCCTGGATGATGATGGGTGACCCTGGAGAATGGATATCCCTGGAGAATGGATATCTCTGGAAAATGGATGTCTCAGGAGAGTGAATGTCCATGAACAATAGGTGGCCCTGGAGAATTGGGTGGCCCTGGATAATGAGTGTCCCTAGATAATGATGCATGTCCCAGGATAACTGGGTGGCCCAGGAGAATGGATATCCCTGGATAATTGGATGTTCCAGGAGAATGAATATCCCTGGATAACGAGTGACCCTGGACAATGAATGTCCCTGGAGAATTGGGTGCTCCTGGGGAATGCGTGCCCGTGGTTTGCGTTGGGTTAAAGATGGGCAGGGACACCTCCCTTTACCCCAGGGTGCTCCAAGCTGGCGTGGGACACTTGCAGGGATGGATCAGCTACAGTTTCTCTGGGAATTCCATCCCCACCCTCACCGGGAGGAATTCCTTCCCAAAACCCCATCTATCCCTGCTCTATTCCAGTATAAACCCATTCCCTATGTCCTATCCATCCCTCCCTTGTCCCAAACCCCTCTCCAGCTCTCCTGGAGCCAATTCCAGCACTGGAAGCTGCTCCAGGATCCTGCACTGGGAGATTCTGGCAACATCCAGGAATTATGGATATAACATGGATTATTCCTGCCTGGAAGAATGTCTCAGTAGGACATTCCCAAAGAGCCAGGATCCCCTAGCCCTGTCTGGAGGAGCTGCCCAGCCCCAGCTGGGTTTGGTCATTCACAGCAGCAGCAGGAAATCCCTGCTCTGGATATCCTGTTAGGAATCCCGGCATTCCCTGCAGGAGATTTCCCAGATTCCTGCCCGTGGGAATGTGTGGGAAAGTAGAGGAGGAGCAGGGAGGCAGCTGAGGTTGGAGCCACCACATCTGACAGGGTCCAGGGAAAAAGGGAGTGAGCATTCCAGGGATGGGAAGATAAATATGGGATTTATCCTGGATTACCCTTGGAATGGCAGATATCCTGCACATGTGCACAGCAGCCCCATCCCAGATTTCCTGGGGCACAGGGATGGCTCTGGAGGAAGGTTCTGGATGCCAAAGCTGAGCTGGGCACTGCTGAGGGCACAGCTCAGATCCTGGGGGCAGTTTTGGGATCCTCCCAAAAAGGGCATGGAGGGACTGGAGCATGGCCAGGGAAGGGTTTGAAGTGCCAGGAGTGGCTGAGGGAGCTGGGAATGTTTATCCTGGAGAAAAGGAGGGTCAGGAGAGACCTTCTGGATCACCACAAGTCCCTGACAGGAGGAGACAGCCATGGAGGCTGGGGTCTGCTCCCAGGGAATGGGGACAGAAGGAGAGGGAATGGCCTTAGGCTGGGCCAGGGGAGGTTTAGGTTGGATATTGGGGAAATTTCCTCATGGGAAGGGTGGTCAGGCATTGGAACAAGTCCCCGTCCCTGGAAGTGTTCCAAACTGCGTGGATGTGGCACTTGGGAACAGGCTGAGTGGGAATAGGACTGGGCTGGGTTAATGATTGCCCTCCTGACCTTGGAGGGCTTTTCCAACCCGAACCATTCCATGATTCCCTTGAAGCTCCTTAGGGAGCACTTGGAAACCTCCAGGAACCCGGGCCGGCTCTGGGGGAAGGATCCTCAGTCCCGGCTGACATTAAAGCTCTGCTCCAACCTGATTCTGTCACTCCCTGGAGACTGACAGCCGATCCACTGGGATTACCGCATCCAGCCGGGGCCGGGGGCCGGGGGCAGG